GTTTGCGCGCGTGTGTGTGTGCGTCTGTGTGTGTGCGTGTGTGTGTGTGTGTGTGCCTGTGTGCGTTCGTGCGTGCGTGTGTGGGTGTGTGTGTGTGCGTGTGTGTGGGTGTGCTTGTGTATGTTCGTGCGTGCGTGCGTGCGTGCGGCCGTGCGGGCGTGCGTATGTGTCTGCGTGCGTGCGTGCGTGTGTGCGTGAGTGTGTGTGTGTGTGTGCGCGTGTGGTTTCGTATTTGTGTGTGTTGTGTGTAAATGTGTGAGTGTGTGTGTGTGTGCGTGGGTGTGTGCGCGCGTGTGTGATGTGCGTGTGTATGTGTGTGTGTGAGCGTGCGTGTGTGTGTGTGTGTTTGTTCGTGTGCGTGGGTGCGCGTGTGTGTGTGCGCGCGTGTGTGTCTGTGTGCGTGTGTGTGTGTGTGCGTGTGTGCGTGTGTCTGCGTGTATGTGCCTGTGTGCGTGCATGCGTGCGAGCGTGTGTTCGAGTGTGTGTGTGTGGGTGTGTGTGTGTGCGTGCGTGCGTGCGTGCGTGTGCACGTTCTTGCGGACGTGCGTGTGTGCGTGCGTGCGTGCGTGCGTGCGTGCGTGCGCGAGTGTGTGTGTGTGTGGTTGCGTGGTTGTGTGTGTGCGTGACTGTGTGTGTTGTGTGTGAGTGTGTGAGTGTGTGAGTGCGTGGGTGCGCATGCGCGCGTGTGATGTGCGTGTGGGTGTGTGTGTGTATGTGTGTGTGTGCGTGCGTGCGTGCGTTTGTGCGTGTGTGTGTGTGTTTGTGCGCGGGTGTGTGCGTGCGAATGTGATGAGCGTGCGTGCGTGCGTGCGTGTGTGTGTGTGTGTGCGTGGGTGCGTGTGTGCGTGCGTGCGTGTGTGTGCGTGCACGTGTGCGTGCGTGCGTGTGTGTGTGTGTGTGTTTGTGTGTGGATGTGTGTACGTGCGTGCGTGCGTGCGTGCGTGCGTGCATGCGTGCGTGCTGGCGTGCGGGCGTGCGTGCGTGCGTGCGTGCGTGCGTGTGTGAGCGTGTGTGTGTGTGTGTGTGTGTGGTGTGTGTGTGCGTGGTTGCGCGTTTGTGCGCGCATGTGTGTGTGTCGTGTGTGTGAGTGTGTGAGCGTGTGAGTTCGCGTGTGTGCGTGCGCGTGTGTGTGTGATGTGCGTGTGTGTGTGTGTGGTTGCGTGTGTGTGTTTGTGTGCGTGTTTGTGTGTGCGTGTGTGTGTGTGGGTGTGCGTGCGTGAGTGCGTGGGTGTGTGTGCGTGCGTGTGTGTGTGTACGTGTGTGTGTGCGTGTGTGTGTGTGTGTGTCTGTGTGCGTCTGTGCGTTCGTGTGTGTCTGTGTGCGTGTGTGTGCGTGTGTGCGTGTGTGTGTGTGTGCGGGGGTGCGTGCGTGCGTGTGTGCGTGCGTGTGTGTGTGTGTGTGTGTGTGTGCGTGCGAGCGTGCGTGCGTGCCTGTGTGCATGCGTGTGTGGGTGTGGGTGCGTATGTGCATGCGTGTGCGTGCGTGCGTGCGTGCCCGCGCGCGTGCGTGCGTGCGTACGTGCGTGCGTGCGTGCGTGCGTGTGTGTGTGTTGTGTGTGTGTGTGTCTGTGTGGGTGTTGTGTGTGTTGTGTGTGTGTTGTGTGTGTGTTTGTTTGTGTGTGCGGGGGTATTTCCCAAACAAAACATGGGGACGTCCTCCGCTTGTTTCCCAACCATCATGTGGTGTTGGCTCCTCGTTTAGAAGAGACAGCGCCCCGCGTCACTCGCGCTCCTACTCCCCCTCATTCCTCCTCCCAGTCCTGCCTCTGCCCTCCGCATGTCAATCATTTCGGCACCATTCACGGGGTTCGTAGCCCCACAGGGAGCTCGACAGAAGAGCCCAGTGGCAGGGTCCGCATGCGCCCGACGCCAATTTCCGCACACTGCCCACATGGGTCGTGGCCCCATAAGGGGGCTCCACCGAAGGCCCCAGCGGCAGGGTCCGCATGCACCCGACGCCCATTTTGGCACTCCCCTCACACGGTTCGTCGCCCCATAGGCAGTTGCACCGAAGGCCCCAGTGGCAGGGTCCGCATGCTCCCGACGCCCATTTTGGCACACCCTTCACACAGCTCGTGGCCCCATAGGGGGCTCCAACGAAAGCCCCAGCTGCAGGGTCCGCATGCGCTCGACGCCCATTGTGGCACTCCCCTCACACGGTTCGTGGCCCCATAGGGAACTCCACCGAAGGCCCCAGCGGCAGGGTCCGCATGTGCCCGACGCCCATTTTGACACACCCCTCACACGGTTTGTGGCCCCACAGGGATTTCCACCGACGGCCCCAGTGGCAGGGTCCGCATGCACCCGACGCCCCTTTCGGCGCACCCTTCACACGGTTCGTGGCCCCATAGGGAACTCCACCGAAAGCGGTACCCACAACGCGGCATTCACGACAGCGTATGACTGGGTCTTGCGCCAGGATAATTTTCAGAGGGGGGAGAGGACCAACCCCCATGAGTAGGGAGCAGGGGGGGGTGGAGGTGGTGGTGTGTGCGTGTCCGTGTGCGTGTGCGCGTGTGTGCGTGTAGTGTGTGGGCGGGATTGCTCCTACTCCCCCCCTCAAAAGAATAACAACAATATGTACGTCATCCGCGTTTTCCCCCAACCATCCTGTGGTGTTGGGCACTCGTTTTGAAGAGGCAAACCCCGCGTCTCCGCTCATCTTCTCCTCCACTCCTCCTCCCCCTCCTCCCTCCCCCCGTCACCCCCTCTCACTTTGGCACACCCATCACACGTTTCCCAGTGCTACCGCCCGCATGCGCCCCCCCACCTGGTACAGCGCTACGTGGCCCCAGAGGGGGCCCCACCGAAGGTCCACGTGCTATCGCTCGCATGCGTCTTCCCCACCCAGTGCAGCGTTTCGTGGCCCCATAGAGAGCTCCACCGACGGCCCGAGCGCTACCGCCCGCATGCACCCAGTACAGCGTTTCGTGGCCCCACAGGGAGCTCCACCGAATATCCCAGTGCTACCGCCCGCATGCGCCCCCCCGCTACCCAGTACAGCGTGGCCCATAAGGAGCTACACAGAAGATCCCAGTGCGACTGCCGGCATGCGACCCCCCACCCAGTGCCGCGCTTCGTGGCCCCATGGGGGGCTTCACCGACGGCCCTAGTGCTACCGCTCGCAGGCGTCCCCCCCAACCCCGTACAGCGTGTCCCCCCGCCCAGTACACCTGTTTCGTGCCCCCACAGGGAGCTCAACCGAAGGTCCCAGTGCTGCTGTCCGCATGCGTCCCCCCCACCCAGTACAGCGCTTCGTGGTCCCATACGTACATGCACCGACGGCCCCAGTGCTACAGCCCGCATGCGTCCCCCCACCCAGTACAGCGTTTTGTGACCGCGTAGGAACCTCCACCGAAGGTCCCAGTGCTACCTTCCGCATGCGTCCCCCGCACCCAGCACAGCGCTTCGTGGCTCCATAGGGACCTCCACCGACGGCCCCAGTGGTACCGCCTGCATGCGTCCCCCCATCCAGTATTGCGTTTCGTGGCCCCGTAGGGAGCTCGACCGAAGGTCCCAGCGCTGCCGCCCGCATGCGTCCCCCCCATGGGCCCAGACCTCCAAGGATATGAATTCTTCAGTCCAGCGTTTTTGTTCCTCGATCTCGGCCTCCGGGCCCCTTATGGGCCTGGGAACCAGCAAACATGGATGCAGGACGAAATGCCGCCCCCTGGGAAGGGATCGGGATCTCTGGGGCCGCCTGGGGCTGCGGGTTGAAACAACAGATCGGAGGACGCCTGGGGAGGGAGGGTGAGGGTGGCGAGGCCCGCAAGGAAATCTGCATTTTCGCGCAGGTCGGGACACACTTGCACGCCTCGTCGGCCCAGCGCTGTTTCGGGTGTTGCTGGAAGTGCCCCTGGCCCAAGGGGCCCCAGGACTTCTGCGGAGGCCCCCGCGGCCTCCAGAGCACCCTGCGCGCGGCCTGGGCGTCCCCAGGGCCTCCAGACTGGAGCGAGAAGCTGGGGGGCACCTTGGGCCAGGGGCACTTCTAGGAGCACCCGACTGTTTGAGAAAGCGGAGGAGGGGGGGGGGGGAATTTGCCATGCAAGTGCGATGCCAGCGTGCGGCAGTCACACACACACACACACACTCACTCGTGTTGGCGGGCTTGGTACGGGGCCCCTCTCGGGAGCCCAACGGGGCTGGTGTGACTCCGTGTTCGAGCAGTGGCGGAGCGTCTGGGCTCGCCTACGTGCCCACCGAAGAATGTTCTAAGAACCTTCTGTGGTCTGCACGAGATGTTCTCGGGACATTTCTGGGTGAGATTGGCCTGTTCTAACACATAGGGCCTATGTTATTCTGTTAGGTTCTTCTGAAAGCGCTCTTTGATGATACGAACATGTCGTGGCAGGCCTATAGGAACGCCGGGACGGTCGGTCCCTGCCCAACCTGTTTGCACTTGTGACCCCGGGGGGCCGTGTGACCCCGAGTTGGCCAGGACCGCCGCTCCAGTGATTGCACAGACCGTGCGACGCGAGCAGCACGGGCGGCGCCAAGCAGATACAGACGGTCGGACCGAGGTGTACGATGGAGGTCGGTCCGGGGAGGGTATTTACCCTGGTGTTCTTCGTGCCTGCTGGATGGTCTCGTGCCTCCTGGGGGGAGGGTGCCCTCCAATGTTCTGGCAAGCCTGGGGGTTGGCAAGCCTGGAGGTTGGCAAGCCCGGAGGTGGTGGGTGGGGGCAGCGGTGGAGGTGGCAAGGCCGGCGGAGGTGGCAAGCCTGGAGGTTGGCACCAACACCAAAATCGGCGCTACGCCTCCACCGAGGGAAGATGATCCCGATCTCGGTGGACTTCTGGCTTCTAGGCGGCCGAAACACTGCCACCAGCACCGAAATCTATGATCATCCTCCCCCAGTGGGCGCACCCCCCCGTCTTGGTGTTGGTGCCCATTCCGAAGCCTCCAAGGAGGGCCTCATGCTCTTGAAGGAGGTTCTCCTGTCCTAGCTCCGACCGGAAGCTCAGAGTGGGCCAGGGCCCCCCCCCACCCCGGCGCCCCGAGGTACGGGCGCTGTATGGCCCCGGCGGGGAGGTGGTGCCCGAGGCGTTGCGCCCGCCGCCTCCGCCGCCGCTCCCAGCCGTTCTCCGCTCTGCTTGCGAAGGCCTTACGGCCGGTGCCGCCGATGCTGAAGGACGGCGACGGCGACGACGACGACGACGACGACGACGACGCTGACGCTCTGAAGCCGAAAGCTTCTCCCAGGAAGGCGTGCTCCCCGCAGGGGTGGGGTCACAACCCCCGGGACTCCCCCGAACATCCCCCCCCCATCCCACCCCACCCCTGGCGGGGAAAGGGCGGGGAAAGGGGCTCAAGGCTCGGGGGAGTTTTCAGAATTTCCTATGTTTTTTTTCAGCGTTTTCGGGGCCCCGGGGCAGTTTCTGTCAGCTGCGCCTCGTCCAGAGGGTTCCTGCAGGTGCCGGAATCGTCCCGAATGGCCGGTAGAGATCTGAGCTATGACCCGAAAGCCAAGGACCGGGGGGGTATAGGCTCAGGGGTGGGCGCACCGACCTGAATCCGAATCGCCCATTCATCGCAGAGAGGGGCCCGACGGCCCACCTCGCCCAGGAACGTGCGGTGTCATGACGGTCGGGCCGAGGTATGAGATCGATGTCGGTTCGGGGAGGGTGCCCTCATGTTCTTCGTGCTTGTCGGATGTTCTGGTGCAAGGGGGGGGTGACCCTCGAATCTTATTCCAGTTTGGGCTGGCGGCGGATGTCGTGTTCTTGAAGGGTGCTCTTCTGTTCTAGGTCTGGCCGTATCGGGGGCCCATCGCTGGTCGATCGGCGATGCGTCGCTGGTTCCAGCTCGATGTTTTCCCCCTGAGCTGGTCCCCCCCTGTCGTGCACCCTCAGGCTTGCCCTCTCGGGGAGGAGGAGGAGGAGGAGGAGGAGGAGGAGGAGGAGGAGGAGGAGGAGGAGGGATCGGTGACAGGTGAACGGTGGGCGTTCCCTCTGGGAGGGTCTGGGGACCCAGACCCCCTCGCGTCGTGAAACAAAAACGCGACGGCTGCTGCTTCTCACGTTTCTACGTCCGGGGGCCCTGACCGGGCCTCGGGACCTGAACCACTCAGGATGAAAAGCCGGTCCCGGAGAATGGGGGGCGAGACTTCTGGGGGTCAAGGTTTTGAACAAGTCATGACGTCGGAGGTTTGGGGATGCGCCTCCATGCCCCTGGCTCATTCGGGGAGCCCTCTTGATCGTATCGGAGCTGCTCGAGAGGGCTGTCGGTGCGGATGCGGAAGCCGGGGGATCTAGAGGTGCCATACTTTTGGTCTGTTCAGGGCACCTTTCTGCTCGCATCGAGGCTGCTCGAGGATCGATAAGAGGAGGCGAAGCTAAATGATCTAAACATGCGCCTCCATACTGCCGGTTTGTCTGGGCACCTCCCTTCACCGATCGAAGCTACTCGAAAGTCGACCGATGTGGAGGCGAAGCTGGACAATCTAGAACTGCTCTGCAGAGCCGAGCCGAGCGACAGGTCCAATTGCCCCAGCATTGATCTATGCATGCGGTTCCCCCGTCCTCTTTGACGCCGCTCTTGATGGGGCAATCTCTCCCCTCCGCGTCAGGCTCTGGTGAAGGAGATGCTGCCAGCGACAGGACCCCGCTCTTTGCTTTGCGCGCATCGCCAGCCACACGAGAATCCTGGCATCGCTCGGACGTGTGCATTTTTTCTCGACGAGAAGCATCGAGGAACATCCTTGATCACTTGGCGAAAAAACCACGCACGAAACCGAAAAAAATACACAGGGAATGGACGTCCGAGCGATGGCGAGGAATCGCCCGTCACCGTGTCTGCCTCCGGTCGGAAAAAAGGATGGCGCTGGGAGGCGTGCGCTCTGCTCTCTGTTCAAGTGTTCGGCCGGGCGCCTCCTCGCTGGTGCATGGAGCCCGTGCAGCGCGGCGCGTCCTGCAGGGCCGCGCGGGAGCCAGAGCCCGAGAGGAGGCCTGCGAAGCTCTGGGGGAGGAACAAGCAAGCATGGGCTCCCCAGCCCTCTTCGCGGTAATTAGCTGGTATGCTGCGAGGGCACACGGTTGCACGTGCTACTGGAGCGCAGGGTGCGTGACGCGAGGCGCGACGTGAGACGGGCGGAAGTTGCGGTCCCAGGGTCTGAGCGGGCGCGCATTAGTGTCTCTCTCCTCTTGCTCCTCCCTCTCCTTTCATCCTCCTCCTTCCTTCTCTTGTCTCCTCCTGGACAGGAGGGACATGGACCTCGCCCCTCTCCAAACATCCCCCAGGGGCTCGTCCGATCTGCACGAGACTCTTGGCGGCAGCCGAGGGGGGGGCGAGGACTTTCCTGCATGCCCGGTCGGCCCGCGCACGACGGAAGGGTTTCAGCATTTTTCACCCTTCGGTGGCTTTTACTGGGCCCCGGGAATTGTTCAGACCTCACGACCGTGCAGAGCGTGGAACACCGGGCGCCGAAGGCGTGATGCAGGAACATGCTTCGGGGACGGGGGAACGACAAGCAAGCCGACCTTGGAGCATCCAGCTGGCAGGCACAGGAGCAAGGTATCGACATGTTAGCGCTCGGTGTGCAGCCGAACGGTGCCGTGGCCAGAGTGGCATACGGCCACGTGTTCGCCACTGTTGAGTTGGCTTCATCAGGGAGTGCTCATGTCCGCCAGAAGTGTGTGTGTGTGTACAGGAGCAGGGCGCAGCACCGGAGGGAGAAGACGCGAGATCGACACCCACTGGCAGGGCCAACCCTGGGCGGGGAGTTCCACGACGCCTCCTCTAGCTGGACGTCGGAGGTGCCTGGAGAGGGGTGCCCAGCACCTCACCAGACGCTCGATGTCGCGATTTGCTCGCGTGGACCCCCCAGCAGTCTCGACCCCTTCTCTGGGGCCAGCTTTTCATCCCGCTTCGTTGTTGTGAGTCCTGGGGCCGGCAGGGGATCCCGACACCAAAACACGGCGCGAGGGGGACAAGCTTCACTGAGATTCTCCACTGCTCCCTGCGAGGGGGCAGAGGTGCCGCTTCTCCTGGCCCCCGTGCTAGAACGACCCCCCCTGCGCGGGCAGTGCCGCCTCCGTGTCCCTCGGGCCAGGCCGCCGTGCCTGCTGCTTCGCGCCCGTGCCTCCCCGTGCGGATGTGCCGCCACAGCCCGCGGCAACACCGAGGGAGCAAGTTGCTGCCTCGAGGCCCTCTGCCCCTGCCGACGACGCCGGCGGAGCAGAAGGCGCCGCCCGCGGGCGTGCGCCTCGCCCTCGCGAAGTCCCACCGCTCCGAGGGGGGGAGGGCGCGCCTCTGCAGGCGAGTTCTACGGCCTCGCCACAATGGGCCTCACCGGCTTCGTCGGTACGGGCATCGGCGACTACGGCGTGGCCTTCGGGCGCCGCGGCCGCAGCCTTTGCGTTGCGCTGCCGCCAGCCCCGGACGTTCACCGAGCGCGTTCCGCGACTCGCAGAGTGCCGATTTGCAAACGTCCGAAGAAGACATGTCTGCTTCGATGCAATTTCTTGTAGATCCCCCCTCGGCGGATCCAGGCCATTTGCGAGTAGTCACTTTGCGAGTAGTGGGACGCGCTCGTCTAGACGTGGCTTCCGTCTTTTGTCCCACGGCGCGGGCGAGCTTTCGACGCCACTCGGGGGACAGGCCATTTCGCCGCGGGCACGGCTGCTGCGCTTTCCTCGGGGCCCAGAGGCGGCTCCTTGACGCCGAGGCCCAGCGAGAAAGCAACCATTGTTGCTCACGACGCACGCACTGCTGCTGGGCCGACGGCTCGGTAAGCCCGGGTCGCCACGCCCGGGACGCCCTCGACCCCCTCCATTTGGCACGATCGAGATTGGTACAGACACAGCAGCAGTGCTTTTCCATGTTGAACCGCTTTGCCCACTTGATACAGTAGGCCGCCTGCCCAGCAGCGGCCGCTGTCGGCTTTGAACAACATGTGTGGCTGGACATCGTACCCACTCTTTCCCTACCCGTTCCTGGCGCCCGGATCCACAGAACCGGCTCTCGTCATCCCGAGTCGCCTCTCGACGGCGCTGGGACTCAGAAGCGGGCCCCCGGGCGCCGAGAGTTGTGGTTTTAATGTTTTTGTGTCGTCCCCCCCTTCACCAAGCCCCCTCCTCGTCCTGATGCTCCTGCTCATGCTGTTGCTGCTCCTCGCGCTCCCCCCCGATCTTCCTCCCCCTCTGCCTTACGCCCCTCTCCTCCCCTCCTCCGCCTCCTCCTCCTCCTTTTCGACCTCCTCCTCCCCCTCCTCCTCGACCTCCTCCCCCTCCTCCTCCTCCTCCTCCTCCTCCTCCTCCTCCTCCTCCTCCTCCTCCTCCTCCTCGAGCCCATATGGTCCGAGCACCTGCTCGCCCTCGGGCTTTCGGCGCGCAGGGGCGCGCTCAGGGTGGGCGCTGCGAGGCTGGAGTGGACTCGCAGGCAGCTGGAGCGTGGCGCTGGCGCGCACAGCTCGGCTGGTGGTGCGGCAGCTAAGCGACGTGCGAAAGACAGGCGACCACCACGATGGAGACGGTCCTGGCCGGCGGCGACAACGACAGGATGAACCTGACGACCTTGGCCTCCCTGACCCGCGCGGAGCTGACCCGTGGCATTTGGGAGAGTCTGAGAGGGGGACCCCTAGGCGTCAGCTGGTCCTTCGCAGAAGGCCCCTCGACATCACCAGGGCGGTCAGGTGCTCCCGGAGGTACCTCCATTCCCGTGGAACAAGGCGGCGCCAGTCTTCATTCCTGCGGGAGTCCATGTAGTCGATCAGATGGATTGTGCAGATGATTGTGACTCCTCTCGGTGAAGTTGGAGATGTTGATTGTAATGTTGGCTATGAGGGTCCTTGCTTGGTAAAGTTGCTGAGATGTACTTCCCAACCTTGGCCCAGATAGAGCAGGCCGTCTCGGAAGCCCTGGCCCCTGATGTTCCTAGCCCTGCTGATCGAGCATCTGTTCCGTGTGTGCCCGACGGATCATTCGACGAGCAGTTGTTGGTGAATGGTTTAGTGGTGACCGACCCGACGCACTGGGCTCCCAAAGTGATCTGGTGGACGAGATGATGTACCGTCGTGATAATGACGAGCCGACGGCTCTCGATAGACATGGGCGTACTGACGATAGCGCAGGTCCTCAGCATGGTCGCGCAGAGGGTCGTGAGGATGCTGATGCGGAGCCAGACGGCACTGGACGTTCTCATGACATCATCTTGGCGGCGTTGGTCCCCAGATGACAGACCCAGATGACGGCCGCCCTCAAGGCCACCAACAAGAACCTTGGTATTCTGACCTCGGGTGGTGACGGTGATGGCCCTCGTGCCGACGAGTTGGAATACCACTTCTTTGACGATTTCGCGGTGTATGTTGGTGAGTGAATCTGAATGAGAAACATGAGCACCTATTGGCATTGGAGGGAGTTTTTGCATTATCTTAAACAGGTTCGCCCACTGGCGTTGGTGGGAGCCTCTAGTCTCTAGGTATACTTCAAACATGTTCGGCTTCCTGCATTGGTGGGTGTCTCTTGATTGATGTCACACACGTTCTGCTTGCATTGGCTGGTGTCTCTTGTACTATTCCAAACACGCGCAGATTCTGGCATTAGTGGCGTCTCCGGATGTATTTCCAACATCCTCTTCTTCTGGCATTGGTGGGCGTCTCTGACTCATTTCATTCGTGATCTCCGTTTGGCAGTGGTGGGTGTCTCTACGGACCGCGGCTGGAATTGGTGGGAGTCTGAAGATCGATTCCCTTGTTTCGCAGATCGACTCCCTGTGTTCCGCGTTCGTGGCGAGACTGGCCCACCCCATGCGGGCCCCCAGCTGCTGTCGAAGCGGCGCCTGGAACAAGATCCTCCCCCTCCTCCTCTTTCTCCTTCTCCTCATCCTCCCCCTCCTCCGCCTCCTCCTCCTCCTTTTCCTCCCCCGCTTTTCTCCTTCCTTCCCCGCCTCCTCCCCCTGCCCTCCGCGTCCCTTCCGTCCTGCGGAGGGGTGTGCCTAAGGGAATTGTTTGAAATTGTCGGTTGTGTTTTGTTGTTCTTTCTCTCTGTCTTTGTTTGTTTGTTTTTTGTTGTTATCTCTCTATCTCTTTCTCCCTCTCTCTCTATCTCTCCCTCTCTCTGTATGTATGTTCTCTCTCATCTCTCTCTTCCTCGCCTCTCTCTCTCTCTCACTCTGTCTGCTCTCTTTGTTTATTTTGTTACACCTCTCTCTCTCTCTCTTTCCACTCTCTCTCTCCCCTACCTCTCTCTCTCTCTCTCCGTCCCTCTATTCTCTCTCTCTCTCTCTCTCTCTCTCTCTCTCCCGGTCGGGTGCCGGAGTCAGTTTTCGCCCCCCCCCCCGCTCCCGGTCGTTCCCGACTTCCTCCCCCATCTCTTCTCCTCTCGCCCCCTTGGCACCGCCCAGAAGTGTGCATTTTTTTTCTCGGCGAGGACCATCGAAGAGCATCCTGGGTCCTCGTGCGTATAGTGCACGCGCAAAGCTGAAAGATGCACGGGGAATGGACGTCCGAGCGACGGCGAGATCTCGTCGCCTCCCGCCCTCCTTTTTCCGCCCCCGCTGCGCAGAATCCGGGGCTCCTGGCTGGGGCAAGGGCGGGCCCGTCTCGGAGGGGCTCTCTCTCTTCGAGCGTTCCTTCTCCCTTTCTCGCTCTCTTTCTCTCTCTCTTTCTGTCTGTCTATCTCTCTCTCTCTCTGTATCTCTCTCTCTCTCTGTCTCTCTCGCTCTCTCTCTCTCTCTCTCTCTCTCTCTCTCTCTCTCTATATATATATATATGTATATGGATACGTCTCCCTCTCTGTCTCTCGTTCCCTCTCTCTCTTTCTTTCCCTCCCTTCGGAAGCACGGCGCTTCCGCACCGAAACGGCAGCCGGGGTGGGGTCCTGGGCGCCTCGCCCGCGCGCGCGGCGAGCGATCCCGGGGGCAGAGCGGCTGCTCTGCGGCGCGGGCGGAGGGCGGCCCGCCTTTCAGAGCCGGCGCTCGCTCGAGGCTGCCCTCCGTGCAGTGGGGCCGGGGCATGAAAACGACACGAAGATCGGGACAACATCGGATCGGGATGACTCGAAATCTCCGAGAATCGGCGGGTTTGGCGGATGTATTGGGCGCCGCGGCCGCTCCAGAGCGTTCCGGAACGCTCTGAGAGCGCTCCAGAACGCTCTGGAGCGATTTATCCCGATCCTAGCCCTGTTTTAGGTATGGGTGGGGATCAGGCTCACTCCCCAGGAGTTCTGGACGCCCGAGATGGGTACCGAAGGAATGGGCACAGTGCCCAACCGCAGCTCCTGCGCATTTTGAACAGGGTTCGCTGTCCACGCCGCCGCGGCCTGTCCATTCAGAGGGCCGCCTGCCCAGCAGCGGCCGCTGTTGGTTTGCGGCAACATTTGTCTTTGGGCATTGTACACATTTTTTCCGTACCCATTTCGGGCGTCCAAAGGAGTGTAGAAGGCCCGAGAGGGGTTCCCCCAGAAGCTTCGAGGGCCCTGCGGTCTCATTCCTCGCTCTTTCTCTCTGTTTATGCGTGTCCCCGCCGCCGCTGTGGATTCTCGAATAGGGCCCTTGGCCTTAGAGCTACGCAGTTTGATCGAGCAGCGCTCTCATACGACAAAGATTGCCGCGCCGCGCCATCCATATCACAATGGGGTCGAGGCCCGTTCGGGAGTCCGGATGGGGTCTGAGATCGAGTTGGATCGTGGGGTATAGGAGAGAGATCGAGGTCGAGTCGGATCGAGGGGTATCTCAGATCGAGGGTACCTTGATGTTCTTCGTGTGTGCTGGATGTTCCCGTGCTTTCTGGGGAGGGTGCCCTCGGATGTTCCGTGTGGCTTTGCCGACGGAGGGCCTCGTGTTCTTGAGGGGTGCTCTTCTGGCCTGGGCCCGACTGCATCGCAGCCCATACCCCCCCCCCAGTCTAGGAGATGGACCTCGAACTCGGACAGTGGGGCCAAGGCCATGCCAGTGGGGCCAAGGCCATCGGCCCACCAGGCCATGGTATCTCAGCCCCCCCCAGTGTAGGACATGCTCTTCGAACTCGGACAGTGGGGCCAAGGTCATGCCGGTGGGGCCAAGGTCCAGGGAAGTAGATCGGCCAGTGGGGCCAAGGCCATGCCAGCGGGAATGGGGATCGGTTGAACGGTGGTCCTGCCCGCGCGCGCTGTGACCCTGACGCCCGTCGCTCGCCCTGGTGAGAGGCGGCATTTGGTCAAAACCGGGACGAAAATGGGCTACATGAAGAGCGTTAGCAGCCAGGGTGACGATTAAGGAAGCATTTGCCTCAGACGGTTGGGCCACCCCTGCCAGAAAAATCCGAGCAAACCCAGAGCCAGCCTCGCGCTCACAGCCTCTGTGGATGCGCGGGGGGCCTTCGGGAACCGAGCCAGCCTCCAGCCCGTGCCGCCGAAGAGA